TATGAGTAAGTCCTTAAACTATTATCTTCCGGATCAAGGAATTTTTTCGAAATTTTTGGTGACGTTGTATAGATAATACGCTTGTATCATTTTTTTTTCCACCCGCCATGGGAAGAAGTTGGCATGAAGATAACAATACTTTCTACATACCCTCTTTCCATGACTCTAGATCCGATCTCAGGGACGCGGTGAACTACTGGTTTCGTTGTGTCATCAGCCGGCGGCTAACTGCCTTACTGTTGTCATTCTGAAACGTAGCTTGCCGAAGATGGTGTGGTCCAGTTCCGAAATAAAATAAAAATTTGACAATGTGTCTTGTCTCCTTCCCTGTTAACTTTTAATTGGGAAACCTTCCAACTATTAATTTAACTTTATGTTTCTCCTTGATGTCCCAGGAACTTCTTTGAGTATCCAACATTCAAGTCTCGAATGAATATAGAGTCCGTATATCTTCAACAGATATATTTTCTATCAACGTACTCGTCTCCTTACGAGGTTATAGACAACACTGAACTCGCGCAGGCAAAAACAATGATTTATATAAACTTTGATCCGCGGTTTGATTGGAGGAATATAAGACAAGAAAAAGGACTTTCTATCTTCAAGAGGGATCTGGGCAGCAACAGAGTTTCAGGGCGGAAAAGATCATTTGGTTTTATAATGAAGCGGTTTGTGATATGGATAAGGATAAGAGTTGATGTCGCTGTTGAGGCATCTTGGGACGCAGAGAGAATATTGGACATTGTGAATATAATATTACTTTGTTGCAAAGTAATCAATTCATCGAAGGATTGCATGAAAGTTCTTGCCTCGGGATACTTCCCAAGTTTTGTCATGTTTTATCACACCAATAACAATCACCCGGCTCAAAAAGAAAAGCCTGCTTTTCTAGACCAAAGTGCGAACTCAAGGTGTGAAAAAGTGCAAAAAATAGCGATGCCTTTTGTTTGCTGTTATCAGCAAAGATTTTCGACGATTCTCTGCACAAAGGTAAGTTTTCATTCCCATTCCCTTCTCTGCTTTGACCCAGTGAACGTTGAAAAAATAACTGACATCATCTCTGATCCTTTTAACATGTTGGCTTTGAGATTTCTGGTAATTGGGATTTGTATAGTTTTTAATACTCTTGTTGAATCTCAAACGGGTGAGGTTAATTGTCAATTAATTAACGGGATCTGGACTTGCAAAGATCTTTGCAAGGAAGGAGTCCGTAATGCGTATGCTTATGATGGAATTGTGAAATTTGACGGAGGAGAATTGAATTTTGATTGCGCGTTCTTCAACGGAATTTCGGTGAGAAAAGAAATATCACGAAAATGACCATAAATAAAAACAGAATATTTTCGAAACAAAATTCGAACAGATGGTGATTCTCGACGGAAATGTATCCTGTGTTGGCGCATCCAGCAGTAGCAAGATAGAGTTAGTTGGAGGCGAGTGCATCGGTGTAGCAGGAGACAGCTCTTCGATGTCTGAGTCTTTGACGAGGACAATCACACCATCAACTACGGCAACTCCAGAAATTTCATCAAGCACGACAGTAAGTTCTTCTTTTTCCAATGTGGCTGTCGTGACGTCAGTTGCCGTTGAGGAGATGACGTATCCTGAGGTCAAACGTCAGACGGTGACCATTTTGACAGAGACAAAGTCACAGGAGAAGTCATGGACAATGACACCATTGTTTTCAGCTTCAATGTTGACATGGATATTAGTCTGCTTGGTGATCTTCGGGGCAATCTTCGGTGGTTGCACAACAGCTGTCGTATATTGGTTGTATACAGTGGCGCGTCATCGATACACTCAGGTAAGAAGTTGTACAAATAGCATCATTCCAAAAATAAAATATTACAAATAATTTTCCAGTTGCGCACTTGTCCAAGAAGTCCGGAACACATTGAGCTGGAAGGGATAGTTTTTGAAGGAGCCAGTGGAGTGGACAACCAACAAGCAAATGCAATCACGCAAGAGGAAGGATCAAGCACAGGAAATACAAATCGGGATGATTTTAAAGATGTGGATTTAGATAATTTACCGCTTCCAGATGAAAAGGTTTTACCACGTTATCCTTCACAAACTTCAATCTTAAGTGGGGAAGGCATGATTAGAAAGAGTAAGGTAAAAGTTACTACTAAATGTCGCGTGGAAAATATGGATTACCAAGCTAATCTTGCTTCAGGGGTACGAGAAGTTGTTGAGTATTCTCAGAAAATAGATCTACCCACTGTAAATATTGAGGATACAGATAGTGCGGTACATTCGTCAGAGGATCAAGAAAATGTGATAAATTTGGAATTAGGATTTGGCGTTGAATTGAAAGTTGTGGGTTTTGCTGGTTATGAACTTGCTTGTAGAAGGAATTGAGATTAAACAGTATTATAAGCAAAGACGAGTGTTCTTTTTTGTTTTCTTTTTGTATTACTCAAAAAAAAACATATATACATTCTTGGAACATGGAATATACAGCACAAAATTTGTTGTTAATTCACATTATATCCTGAATACACAAAACACATATATACACGGACCTTGAAAGCGATTTTTATATTTTTCACCTTTTTAATTTCTCAAAAATCTTTTTCTTATGTTCTTATTACTTTGATAATATTAGAACTTGGCCAAGTTCGTCTTGAAGCATTGTCACGCTTTTTGTCGGATAGCCAAAATGAGGGGTGCATTTTTATGGCGCAGGCGCGCGTAATTTGGCAGTGCCATGTTGACGTCGTTTATTGCGCGGGCCTCCGGTTTTGTTTTGGCGTTCCTTTCAGGAGTGGGGGTCCTGACTTCCTGGATTCTATTGAAAAGGTTGAAATTGCTTAAAAACGTTAAAACTTGAAACTGCTCTCCGAACTTTTGCTTATTTGTCCAATGTATGCGTGGTATACCCTGTATGGAGATCTTCACTCGTCGGCGTGCCAATTTCTGACCTGGGGTTCTAATCCCTGACAAGTCTAGAATGAGGCTCAATGGAGGGACCAGTGGATGTTCACGGTATATGTAAAAAATACTGAAACATCCCCTGTTCGTTTTGTCAGGTGGAATTCAACTACTGCATAGGGAGTGTCGTATATGGAATAGAAAAGAATTCTGTGGTACTGACAAGCCATAGCCCAGCATGTGTAATAGGATTGCTGGGACATGCATTTGTCTGTATAACGGAGTTTAATCGTCCAACACTTGAAGTATAGCAGGTTACCTGGTACGGGAATTGGGTAACACGAAAGTTGATGTGAGCCGAGTTGCGTACCAAGGGAATCTGTTGAGCTGAATGCGGAAAAGAGAGGTGACATCAGGAGGGGGTATACTGGCATATGGACGGGATTGTTCCCATGCAATGTTTGTAGTAAGCGGAAATAAGCTTCACACAAATATTGCATGGAGGATAATCTTTTGGTTTTATTTTATACAAATCTTAAAGATGGATAAAATCGTCTGAGGGGAGAGGTTAAAGCTATCGATTCTACATTATTTTGTATTTGTTCTCTCCTGTTTTGTCTTCTTTTAATTATAACTCTTATTTTTGCATAACAGAAATAAAATAGGATTATGAGAATTATTAGAGACGTTAAGGATAATCCTATCAAGTAGAAATGTCCGAAATCTCTAAAATGCAGTTGTATGTCACTTATGTCTTGAATTACCTTTTGCGGCATTTCTTCTTGTGCTATTTTTGTAATTGCCTTAAGTTCTACACCTGATACCTCTTCAATTGGAATTATATCGTTTAAAGGGCCATTGACTAGAGTATATCTACATGAGTTGTAAAATTTGAGGATTCCGGAATGAGGTAACTCGTAAGAGTTTTGTGTGGGTCCATTTCCCTGATTGTTGCAATATTGATTTATGCTTCCTTTATTTGGGTTTACAAAAGCAAAGTCATCTTGATCTAAACGAATAAATTCACTTCTAGGAGTATCTATTTTTTCTAGCTTGCATGCAGCATCTATTTTAGTCTTATTGTCATTTTGTAAAATGGCGGTGGTACATGAATCCAAAATGTGGTTAGGGATATCTTTAAATTTACATATCTGGCATAGCAATAAATCTATTGATTGAATACAGTTAGGTAAGTGATTCTCATTCAATCCAAAATATTTGTCATTATGGGCTAATACATACGAGTACGGGAGAAAGACCTTTTACCATTTGGGCTCTCCCAGGTAAGTCTCTTGTGATATGGGTAAATTGTAGATTTGGAACAAATTAAAGAATGAAGATTCAGTAATTATGGGTATTACTACTAAAGAATGGAAAACACATGTGTCCGGAAGAACAGAACTAGAATTGGTGTGACAGCCATGAAATACACCGATTGATAGAGGATTCGTATGAATTATATTGATTGTCTCTGCAGTGGTTAATACACTTTTCTCTACATTGATAAAAGTATCAATAGCTGACCGTAGGTTATTAGGACTAATTAGATTTTGTGGGAATTTTAGATCATTTCTGCTTTCTACATCATTTACCACAGTATGTAAAATCATATTTAAGGTATTTATTTGAGTGGTCATTGACATGGTTAGTGATTCATAAACGCCATTTGACATTCCTGCCCTTGTAGTAGCATTCATTGCTAAAACGTCTTGGACTATGGTTTCAATATTTGAAAATATAGTTTCAGGTTTCAAAGAAGGTATTAAAACACGTTTCTCTTCAAAATTAGGATTATTATTGTTAGGGATTGCTTTTAGTTTTTTCTCGAGCTGTTTTATGTTGAAATAAGAGAAAGGACGCAAAGGGATGCAAGCATAAATAAATGCTTTATCATATAAAGCGGTACTTAATAATGTTAATTTATTTATGGCAGACTGTAAAGCTTTTGCAACGTTTGGTACTTGTTGTCCATATTCTGGAGTAGAAATTGATACTAAATGTCAGACTAGATTATCAATAAGAGTATTAGTTTTGGATTGAAATATTCCAATGGGAGTTAACCTTTCTATTGTCCATTTGGATTGTGGTATGCACACAGGAAATTTTTCTGAGAAAGTTATTCCTTTATTTGCTACAAAGTTCCTTATAGGAGAAAGGCTATTTGATTGTTTGGAAGAGGTGGTCATACCTTTGTCATTAGGGAGTTCTACAATAGTTAACGTATGGCAAGGGATGAAACGTATGCTTAAAATATAGAGATAATTTAAGATATTCATGTTGTTGAGTCTTCAGTATTCTCAGTATTTTCTAATATGTCGTCTAAATATGTATCAGTTGATAAGTTTAGATCGTCAACCTTACGTTTGTTGTCCAGTAATTGTTGACGTTCTCTTTGTCGTTCCAACAATTCCTTGACCTTGTTGCTTTGACCACTGGCTTGTCGAGTACAAGCTTCTACAATATTCCCAGGATCTAATCCTTGTAAGGCTCTGGGTCCGTAAGGTTGACGTTTATGGGTTTTGATAGGCATACTCCAATTTTCTGGGGCAAATGTTTTTCGCAATGAGGGATCAGGATCAGAAAAATCCTCACCAATGGCTTCTGTTAATTCTTTGAAGAAGTCTTGGGTGCCTTTATAAAATTGTTTTGCACGTTCTATAAAGGACGGCCTCTGAGGAACAGAAGAGGGTATCACATCATCTTGAATAGGTGTTGATTGATTATTACTTTTCTTTGGGATTGGGGTTTTAATTGGCGTTATAGGTTGAATTTGAAATATTGGATTATACCGTGGTGGAGATGAACTAGTCGATTCATTTATGGTTTCTTGTTCTACCAGTTGTTCCTCTGTAAATGAATTTTCTTGGTTCTTTGCGATTGGACTATTAATACTTACATCAGGAGAGTCGGTAGCTTCAATTCCGTTATCAGGCTGGAATTCTGAGTCAAACACTTGAATAGGCGGGTTATTGTAGATAGAGTCATTTTTATCCTGAGTGCATGTATCCATGATGGTACTGGAGGATGAATAAGGACGTAAATAACTTGAGTGTACTATATCATTCCATCCTGTATATGGGTCTTTTATACGGTAGGTGACTTTATTAATTACCTGTGTGATCACATATGGTCCTTTATATTTAACAGACCATTTACGTCCCACATAAGTAAGGACGTCGTGTGAATGGAGTAACACTAGATCATTTACCTTAAACAAGGGAATTTTAGCCTTACCATTTAATCTACTTAAATAGGCTTGCTGGCGCTTTTCAATTATATATCTGGCTTTTTCTCTTAATTTATCTAAAGAGGCATTTTTGGTATTAATAAAATCCTTAATATCCTCATAATTTTCTGTGTCAGAAAAATCCCACGGTACCCAGTTAATGTTAGGTTTTTGTCCAGTGACTAATTTGTATGGGGACATTTGTATAGCTTCATGTTTACTAGAATTATGTACCCATGCAGCTAATTTTACAAGTTGATCCCATTTAGTCCTGTTTTTGGGGTCTAAATACATAGCAATATATTCATGTAATTCCTTGTGGGAACGTTCATTCTGACCGTTGGCCTGCGGATGATATGCCATTGTAGTTCGTGCATTACTTCCTAAAGCAGTAGCTAATTCTTTAAATATGGCAGATAAAAAGTTGGTACCCCTATCGGTGAGAATGACCTTTGGGGCTCCAAACTGACAGACCCAATGATTCAAAAATGCCTTGGTAACAGCATCCGCTCCAGCGTTTGAGAGGGGTATAAATGAAATCCATCTTGACAGTCTATCTTGGATCACTAAAATATATTTATTTCCTGAGGAACTTTGAGGGACGGGCCCAACAATATCAAGACTTACTTCCTCAAAGCATTTGTTGGGTATCGGCATCGGGTACATTGGAGAATTATGCTTGTAAATTTTGTATCGTTGGCATGTATCACAATTTCGTATGAACTTAGATACGCCCTTATCCATGTTTATCCAATAGAAGTTTTCCTTTAATGCAAAGAGGGTTCTATCTTCACCAGGGTGTCCTACTGCAGGTGGTTCATGATATAATTCAATAATATAATTTCTAAGATTTGGAGGAATCCATAATTTACTTCCTCTTTCTGTTTCCTTATATAGGAGTTTATCCTTCATAAAGAAACCTTTACCTGTCGGCCAATTATGTTCAGGTATCCTGGTTGAGTATTGTAGAACAATTTCTAAAGGAATATAAGGAGTTATCTCCTCACTGAAGAAAGCAGGGGTTAGATAATTGCACATTTTATTAATGGGAGGATATCTTGACAATGCATTGGCATGTGGAATATTCTTTCCTTTTTTGTATTCTACCTTATAATTGAATTCATTTAATGTAGTGAACCACTTTATGGCTCTTTGACTATCATTGTGTCGTTGTTTACTGAGGAAAGGAATTGCTATATGATCAGTCTTAATGATGAAGGGGTAACCCCACCGAAAGGACCTAAATTTCTGTACTCCGTAAAATACTGCAAGAATTTCATGGTCGGAATTAGGATAATTACTTTCCATGGTATTAAGAGATCTTGACACGCAACCAATTAGGTTCTCATGTTTTCCACTTTTTTGGGTTAAAACTGCACCAATAGCAATATTAGATGCATCGGTGGTAAGAATGAATTCTTTACTAAAATCGGGAAATGCCAATACGGGTGCGGTCATCAAACATTGCTTTAAACTTTGCACAGCATTTTCTTCTTCATCTGTCCATTTGAATTTGCAATCCTTTTTTAATAAATTATGTAGAGGTTTTGCTAATACAGCGTAATTTTCTATATGAGCTCTGAAGTATCCAGTCAAACCCAAAAAGGCTTGCACACTTTTAACATCAATTGGTGTTGGGAATTCTCGAACTGCTTTTAGTTTTTCTTCAGTGATACGAATTCCTTTGTTACTGATTAGAAAACCAAGATATTCTATTTCATTTAAAAAGAATTGACACTTCGAAAATTTGACTCTTAGACCTGATTGTTTTAATCTATCAAAAACATCATTGAGATGAGTTACATGAGAAATTGCATCAGGAGAGTATGCAACTATATCATCAATATAGATGAAGGCATAGTTACCTAAACAACCATCTAAAACTAAGTTCATCATACGTTGAAAAATACTAGGGGGATTCTTTAGTCCCATCGGGAGTTGGATAAATTCATAATGTCCAGATGGTGTAGAAAAAGCGGTTTTATGTTGCTCATTGGGGTGTATTTCTAAATTATAGAAACCGTGTAATAAATCAAGAGCTGTAAAATACTTGGCCTTGCCCAATTCTTCAAAAATTTGGTGAATGCGGGGCAACAGATGGGGATCCGTTATGACGTGGTTGTTCAATTTTCTAAAGTTGACTACCATTTGCCAACCTCAGTCTTTATTTTTAACCATAGGATTGGGTGAATTATAAGGTGATGTAGAATTGGTTATTATTCCTTAATTTATTAAATCCTCTACAAATTGATCTAATACTTGCCTCATTTTATAAGGGGTAGGATATTGTTTTATATACACAGGTTCGTCTGTGTCCAATGGAATAGTGGGTTTATATATGTTGCACAGTCCGAGTTTATCTGTTTTCCTTGCTAAAACAGTGGCATACTTAGTTAATAGTTTTTTAACCTCACCTTTAAGGTGCTCAGGACATTTTGATCGTTCTAGAGCATTCTTTATCATAGACGTAATTGTTTTCTCTGATTCTTCTTCCTTACCATGTATGTGTACTATTTTATCATGTATATTCTTGGTGAATGATAGTGCAACTAAAGCATCATCATCCATTAGTTCTGCATGAGCAAGGGTGTAACTGGAATCTAATGCCAATTCATTTTTGGTTAGATTAATACAAAGCGCAAATGTATGACCATGAGCATTTATAGTAGAGAGAGATCTTCCAATAATTAAATGTCCTTTTGAATCGATTAGTGGGTTTATTAATATGTCTTTTCCCATTAGAGTTTTGGAGTTTTCCTTAGACATTTTTAATTTAATTATCTGTTGCGATAATGGAGCAATAATTTGCTTGGAGATGGGGTATAGTTTGAAATTGGGATCTTTGTCTTGGATGACTCGGGAAGTTTCCTCAACAGAATCTTTTAACTTGAAAGGAATATTATGATCATTAATTTTTATTTCTTTGTTTCTATAACAGATTCGAGCGGCATTATCTCGTAGCCAATTGGTTCCTAATATTCCTACAAAGTTTGGAGTACAAGGACAATCTATAAGAAGAAACGAGATATTACTAATAAATTTATTTCCATTGTACAGAGATTTTTCTGTAGATCCTAGAACAGAGATGCGGTTTCCTTGTAAGGTATTAATTATCACATTGCTAGGTTAAGTGGGATCAAAATTATAATGAGAGTCGAGAATAGATATTTATGACCCCGTGTCAATTAAGAAACGTAAGGGAGGATCCTCTTTCTTGATGGAGATTGTGACAACTGGTAGACGCGAAAGAGAGGCGTCTCCAGTTAATAATCGTTTCCCAAATTGTTAGATGTATTATAATTGTATTCATTGTAAAAATTAGATTCGTTATAATATTGATCTTCTTGATCTTGATCATAATATTGATCGTATTCTTCGTTATTTTCATCCTCAGTGTCAAGGTATCCAAAATCTTCAATCATTTCATTTGTTTCTTCGTCAAAGTTAATTAGGGCTTCTTCCGAATATTGATAATTATCTTCCTCATTATATTCTTCAGAGTAATTATTATTTTGATGGTTACCTTGATCTTCAGTCACATTGTAGTAAACACGTCGGGTATTTCCCATGGGTCTTCTATTAGAATTTCCTGTTTGCCCTCTAGATACAATTCTTCCTCTGGTGGTATTTCCTTGTGAGGAATTGTTTTGTCTATTTTGAAAAGGCGGTTGAGAGTTTAACCGTTGAGCCTTAGGTTGAAAAATCTTCTTGTAAGGGATTTGATTATTGGAAGAATACCTTTGGGGGTTGTTGTTCCCTCAACGCATAGGGGGATGATTAGATCATCTTATGGATGGGCGATTATTTTGATGATTCTTCATAGCACCCAGTGAAGTGTTCTTATAATTTTGCTGATTATTCCAGGGTACCTTATGTGGGCATTCGGCTACGTAATGGCCATGTAATCCACACCCATAACATGGTTCATTGTTGGAATTGTATACCTTCTGGGTAAAGTTAGGCCTATTGGTAATAGCAGTATTTCTATTGTATGTTCCATTACCTCTTTTGATGTTTAGTTGAAAAGTGTCACAGGAGTAGACAAGACGTGCAGTAGTTATTAACATCCTTTCAATTTTTATGGCCAACTCTACGGCTGCTTTGTAATTATCGGGAATTTCTGCCATTCTTCCTTGTATATGAGGTTGTAATCCGGTAATAAATTTGTTAAGCTTTATTTCAGACAAGAAGTTACTTCTACATTGTGAGCTTATCACTTCTTGTTCATACATGGGATTTGTGACAAATGTTTTTACACCTTCTTGTCTTAAAACCTTTATTTCTGGGATATAATCAGCATTAAGTCGGCTTGCTGCTAGATTTAAACGTAAGAAAAAATCTTGAACTTTCTCATTTATCCCCTATTTATTATGGTCTAGAGTGGGTATTCCATCAGCAAAGTTTTTTGGTTCAAAGTAATTCCTTAGAAATTGAATAATGACTTGATAGGGTTTATGGCGTAATCCTGTTTCAGATTCTATTAAATTGTTAGCCTTAGCATTTAATTTTGAGAGTAACAGATTTTTAATTTGCTGGTCATTCATTGGATTTGCTTGAAGTAACGTTAAGAAACAAGAATACCAAGCACTCCATGCTATGGTATTGCATTCTCCAGAAAATACAGGTAAGTTACTTATAAAAGCATTAGCAGTCTGAACATTAGGAGGGATAAAACTTTGGCCTTGAGATTTGTTCCATACGACCATCTCTTCAGGAGTAGGGGTATCTAAGGTACCCAAGAGGGTATTGGTCATTATTGCTTTTTTCAGTTCGGTAGTTTCAGCAAGATTAATAGTGTTCTCTATTGCCTGATCTTGGATAAATTGAGCCAGTAGGGCGTTATTCCTATCACTTGATTCCTTTTGAGCTTCTTGAATCTTTTTTAAACTAGCGCTGGTATCCCTTTCTAATTTTTCTAGATTGGAAATGGTAGATTCCAACTGAAGTATCTGTGTGTCTATCATATCCTTACAGGTTTGTCCAGCATTTGGTAATTCCTTTTGCAATTGAGTTATTTTTTGACGATGTTCAAGGATGGATCTTTGTAAGAAATTGATTTGGTCAGATGGAGCTAACTGGAGAAATTCAGGAGGCATTTTATTATTATCTAAAGAAGCTGCTGCTAACTTAGATAATCTAGATGCAGATGTATTAGGATTCTGTGAAGGTAGGGTGCCTGGGTTTTGAGGTGAAATAATCGTAGCATCTAATCCTTCTTTGAGGGATTCCTCAAATTGATTTTGTTTGCCAGTTGCCATCCTTAGATATGTGAGTCTATTTTACAATATCAATGGTGTATTTTACAAGTACAATAGTGAGTTAGTAAGGGCAAGTGGTAATAAAAGGTCGCTTAAATATTATACACGAAGTACAATATTTAATTGTCCTGGGTTAGTAAGAATTAAACGTCACTCCTTAGATTAAGAGGATCTTCTTGTTGACGCGCCTTGGTTTCTTCAGGCGTATCAAAATCTTCTGGTCTTTTAATGGGTAAGACCAGTTGGACGTTAGAATGTTTAATAAATTCTTTAAATATTTTAGATTCTGGGGAATCTCCGTATACTAACGCAAAAGTCTTTTCAGTAATTTCCTTATTATATTTTTTAGCTTTTTGAATAGAGGTTAACGATTCGTTAGATTTAGAGTCTGACATAAAAATACTATATCTGTATAAGTACAAGTTAAAATGAAAATACAATCGTATTACAAGTAAGACTCTTTCACACAAACAATCAACGTTTCTAGCACACATTACTTTGTTTTGAAGGTTTTTCTCAAATTTTTCTATTTGTTTGGGTTTTGTAAAAATACCTTTGTTTCCTGAACCGTTTCCTTTCCTTGGACGACATTCCTTGGTCAACGCCACACAGGGCCATTACCATTTTGAGGTCAACTCCGCTACTGGGCAGTTACCTTTTTCTGGCCAACTCCTCTCTTTTAGGCAGTTGCCTTTTTATTCTGGCCAACTCCTCTTATGGGCAGTTGCCTTTTCTTTTGGCCAACTCCTCTTGTGGGCAGTTGCCTTTTCTTTTGGCCAACTCCTCTTATGGGCAGTTGCCTTTTCTTTTGGCCAACTCCTCTTGTGGGCAGTTGCCTTTCTTTTTTCACTTTTTCAAACTTTCACGTTTTCAAACTTTAGTACTTTGCTTTTTTGGAACTCTATTTTTTACGGACACCAAGAGTTTCTGGTGCACTACCTGCACTGAATCCACCCGGCGCAAAAAGGAGCACCAACTGTGCCACTTTTTGTTGTCTGGTTCCAAAATAAAATAAAAATTTGACAACGTGTCTTGTCTCCTTCCCTGTAAACTTTTAATCCGGAAACCTTCCAACTATTAATTCAACTTTATGTTTCTCCTTGATGTCCAGGGAACTTCTTTGAGTATCCAACATTCAAGTCTGGAATGAATATAGAGTCCGTATATCTTCAACCGATATATTTTCTATCAACGTACTCGTCTCCTTACGAGGTTATAGACAACACTGAACTCGCGCAGGCAAAAACAATGATTTATATAAACTTTGATCCGTGGTTTGATTGGAGGAATATAAGACAAGAAAAAGGGCTTTCTATCTTCAAGAGGGATCTGGGCAGCAACAGAGTTTCAGGGCGGAAAAGATCATTTGGTTTTATAATGAAGCTGTTTGTGATATGGATAAGGATAAGAGTTGATGTTGCTGTCAACATGGGAATATAATATTACTTTGTTGCAAAGTAATCAATTCATGAAGGATGCATGAAAGTTCTCGCCTCCATACTTCCCAAGTTTTGTCATGTTTTATCACACTGATAACAATGGATATAACCGGCCTTTCAGGTAAATACCCAACTCCCCTGCCGTATTTTTTTTTTATTATCCCCGAAGCTCGGAATGCGGAACGACCTGAATTTTTTGTTAGTACAGTACAGTCACGCCATTTCCTTGCGTTCAATGGTGTTGGCTGAGCATATCACACTATAGTCCTTCCATATCTTAACCAGGCGGAGCAAAGATTTATGATATGTTTTACGTTTCCTATGCTTGAGAACACAATTACTGTATCTCGTTTTTGCTTAGCGTTTTCTCAAGAGATGTGCCATCAAAAATAGATCATGAGAAAGAAACGCCTTATGACCTTACATTCCTCCATTACTCAACCGTTATGATTAAAAAGTGTTATGATTTTCACTGAGAGAAACATGAAAAATGTTGTTTCTTTCAAAACTCGGAAGTACTGTACAGTACTGTACTTCATTTGAAATCTACATCAAGTGCGAGGAGCTGTTTTCATTGCTTGATTTCGCTTTCTCCTGCTTCCGTCTCATTTTTTTCCAGAATGTTTTCAATAAATCTCTATTTTTCAGATCCGTACGTGAAGATTTACTTGCTGTACAAAAATCAGCGTATCGCGAAGAAGAAAACCCACGTGAAAAAGCGGACATTGAATCCGGTCTTCAACGAGTCGTTCGCCTTCGATCTCCCTAATCCATCTGCTTTGAAAGAAGCGTTTGGTATTCCAGCTTCTGACGCGAATGCTGATCAGCTTATGACCATCTGCTTGGATGACATTTCGCTCGAATTTCTTCTTCTGGATTGGGATAGGGTCACCAAGAACGAAGTGCGTTTCCCGTTTTTCCTCTTCATTTATATTTTTATGCTTCTGACTTTTTTATTCGTCAAAAAAATTCAAGAATTGCGTTTGCAACATGCAAGTCAAGTTTATTATCCTCAAAAGGTTCAAATTGAAGAAATAAAATCGGACGAAACTCATCTTCTTCCTTTCACCAGTATTCATTTTGTCAGTGATTCTCCGTCCACAGTAAGGAGCTGTAATATTTCAGTCATTCCTAGTTAGCTCTCTTTTCTTTTATTTATTCATTTAATTTTTTCCTGAATTTAATATCGTACAAACCTTGTAAGTGAGTAAATAATGCTGTACTAAAAGTGTCGTGGCATTCTACAAACGCTTCGGTTTAATTATCCGTAGAAATATTTTTTGCATCATGGGACGTTAGTGAGGCTCAAATCTTGGAATCATCAGAGGTAGAGGTGGCGTAAATTAACGAAGCTGTAACAGAAGTATGACTTGGAAACTCGAATTAAAATTAAGGATTCGGAGCGCTTTTGTCCGAGTAATCTATTTTACATTCTAATCCTCCATATAATTTATATTTGCCTCCGCAAATTTGAAGTAGCTGTTTTAATTTTATTTTAAATAAACTCGATATTTGTGCAGGTCGCAGAACATTTCCACTTTTTTCATCCCTATTTGCTGATCTCTTTGGATTGGGGGTACTCAAGTAGTCGGAATACTCCAAAAGACTTGAATGAAAATAACTTATTTGAATTTTTATTTTGCACAAACCGGAGAATATCTTTCGAAGAGATCGCCAATTTTTTCCAAGCCAAGCTCATATGGCGTGTTTTTAAGGCCATCAAAAATGGCGTCGGGCGTTAACAAAAATTTACAGAACGGAACATTTTTTCAAGTATTGTCCTTTTTTCCTGCTTCATCAGCTTTCAGTGTTCTCGGAAAGTTCATGTGTCCAAAAAATCGGAAACATTTTCGAATTACTTCACGTGTTGATATTTGTAACGGAGAGTTCTGAACGGGACTTTTGTGGATTTCGCAGGTTATTGGACGTCTCGAACTTGGAGGTCCAAAATGCAGTGGATCAGCTTTGCATCACTGGAAAGAAGTGTGCAACTCTCCTCGCAGGCAAATTGCGGAATGGCATAAGCTGCGCGAGTAAACGGTCGAACTTCAACGCGCAATAACCGAAAATGTCGGCAACTAGATGAAAACGGAAAAATGCTTACCTCTCGGGCTGCAGAAGTCTCCCAATTCTATCATGACCTCGATGTTCAGAAACCACAAAAATGTGAATGAACGGTTTTTGAGTAGCATCCGGTAACGTAGGCAACCATTCAACCCGAGGTG